GGTCCCCCACAGTCCCCCTCCTCCAGCCCAGCACCCCCAGCTTACCTGCTGCTGCCGCTGGAACCGGGGCGGCAGAGACTTCTGGTACTTGGAGTAGCCCAGGTTCTGGGCCAGGGGCGGCTGGCGTGGCGGCACCACAGTCTCGCCCTTGGGCTCTGTCTTGGGCACGGCAGGGGCCACAGGGGGGGCCGGCACCACCAATGGCTCATCCGGGACCTCGGGCACCTCCTTGGGGGCGGGCGCCGCAGGGGGCTCAGCTGGGGGAGAGCAGGGGGGTGAGTCGCTGGGCACGACACGGGAGCGGAGAGGCCTCACCTGGCAGCCACAGCTGAGACGCGGCCCTCTGGGGCGGGGCAGGTTACCTGGGCCCCCGAGACGCGGCCCCTCTGGGGCGGGGCAGGTTACCCGGGGCCCCCGAGACGCGGCCCCTCTGGGGCGGGGCAGGTTACCCGGGGGCCCCGAGACGTGGCCCCTCTGGGGCGGGGCAGGTTACAGGTTACCTGTGGCCCCCCGAGACGCGGCCCCTCTGGGGCGGGGCAGGGGGCAGGTTACCTGGGCCCCCGAGACGCAGCCCCTCTGGGGCGGGACAGAGGACAGGTTACCCAGGGCCCCAAAGACGCCTCCTACCTAGCCCGGCGTCGAAGCTGCCGCTGGTGCTGCTGCCGCTGCTGCGGGGTTTGCTGACCGGGGCTGGCTCCTCCTGGTCTCTTGTCTCCTCTGGGGGGGGCAGGGGCCGGGGGGGCAGCGGCCGGGGGGCTGGCGACGGCCGGGGGCGGCGGCGGGGGGGCGGGCACTTCCTTGGGGGGCTCGGCTTTGAGGCGCTTGTCGGGGGCCCCAAACTTCTCGTCCAGGCGCTTGAGCTTCTCGGCGCAGGCGGCCCGGCGCTCCTCCTGCATGCGCCGCTCCTCCTCCTCCCGCCGCCGGCGCGCCCGCTCCACCGCCGCCGAGATCTCCGAGGAGGACTGCTTCCGCCGCTGGCGCCACGCCTCGTCCTCGTCCTCCGGCGCCGGGGGGCGCGCCTGGGGGCAGGTGGGGGTCAGGGGGAGCCGGGCACCTCCCACCACCTCACAGCCTGATCCCCGGCCCGCAGCCCCCCCAGATCCCCTCCCTGCAGCCCCCCCCATGTCCCCTCCCCCCCCCACGATCCCCTGCCCCACAGCCCCTATATCCCCCTAGGCCCACACCTTTCCTCTATACACCCCCTAAATCCTATTCTATCCCTCCAAGGTCACATCCCCCCAATCCCACACCCTATGAATGCTCCATCCTCCCCAGGGCTCACGCCCACTGCCCTCAGATCCTTCCCGGAACCCCCCCCCCCCGACACTCACTGGGAAGTCGTTGGGCTGCCCCCAGTTGCCCCGATTGGGGGGTGGGGGTGGCGGTGGCGGGGGGCGAGGTGCGGGGGCGGCGGGCGGTTCCTTGGCCCCCTCCGGGGGCGGGCGCCCTCGGCCCAGGCCGCCTTGACAGGGGGCAGCTCCTCCTTGGGGCTGCTGGCCTTCTTGCCCTCGGGGCCCGGCCCCTCGCTGTCCTGGCTGGGGGGCAGAGGGCAGAGATCAGCAACAAACGCAGTGAGATGGGCCACGGCTCGGATCGGGGTGGGTGGGGCCGCGGCAAGCCCGGGGGTCTGATGCGGGACTGAGCCAGGGGGTGGGGCGGACGGGTCAGCGGGTCTGAGCTGGGGGACTGGATCCAGGGTTGTGGGGCTGGGCAAGCTGGTGGGTCTGATCCATGGGGCTGAGTTGGAGTTGGGGGGGGCAGGGATGTGGGGCACGAAGGGCCGGTTCCAGGGGCATGGATGGGGCAGTAACTCTGAGGTGGGAGGGGTCGGGATGGGGCCGGCGGGGGGCCGGGGTCCCTCTTACTGTTTCTCGGCCCCTTCCTCGTCAGACTCTTTGCCGTCCTCTTCGTCGCTGAATTTCAGCTTCTCGGTGTAATCCACCTCCTCGTGCGCGCCTGGCCAGACAGAGACACCCGGCGTCAGAGCCTGCCCCACAGCCGGACGCGGGGGGCCCCGGGGCGGTGTGTCGAGGCCGGGGGGCAGCGGAGGAAAGGAGCTCCCCCCCACCCCCTGGATCCCCAGCGGGGGGCGCTACCTGCCCAGCCTTCGTCGTTCTCCTGGTCCAGCTCGTCGAACTCCTTCAGATCGTCCTGCCGGAGCACGGGCGGGCGGCTCACCGGCTCCGCCGCGCGCTGGGGGGGCTGTGAGGGGCGGGGCCCAGCCAGCCGGGGGAACCTGGGGGGAGGGAGAACCATGGAGGGGCTAGGGACAGAACGCAGGAGTCTGGGCTCCCAGCCCCACCCCCCTGCTCCAACCCACTCCCTCCTCCCCCCTCTTCCTCCAATCCAGGGACAGAACCCAGGAGTCCTGGCAACTGGCTGCAACCACTAGATCCCACTCACCCCCAAAGCTGGGAAGAGAACCCAGGCATCCTGACAGCCCCCCCCAACTCACCTCTGTGCGTCCGGGGTGGGATAGCGGTAAGGTCCCTGCGGCCCATACGGAGGCGGGAACGGGAGGTACGGGGGGTACATCTGTGGGGAGACGGGCCGTTAAGGGGGCCCCCCAATGCTGGGGGGAAGAGTTCAGCCCCCACCTGTCCCCCCATAAACCCCAATCTGCTGAGCCACCTTCAGTCACGGAGATGGATCACTCCCTGGATAGGTGTCCGCCCCCCACCTCTTCCCTCCCCCCACTCCCCAGGGAGCAAACCCCCCCACCCTGCCCCTCCCCACAGAGCATTCCTTCTGCCCCCCGCCCCTGCCCCCCCCACAGATCAAACCCCCCTGCCCCTCCCCACAGAGCAACCCCCCCCGACACTCACGAATGGTGGCATCATGCCCCGGTAGGGAGGGAAGTGGGGCGGGGCGGAGGGCTGCATGCCCACCCCGGCCCGCCCGTCGGGGGCTCCGGGGTGCTGCTCGGGCACCTCCCCGTCAGTGCCCCGCCCGCCTCCATCCCGCCAGCTCGTCGCATCTGCAAAGGAAAGGGGGACGGGGTAAGGGGGGGGCTGGTTATCCAGGGACCCCTGGCCCCTCTCGGGCGGGGCATGGGGGCTGGTTATCCGTGGACCCCTGGCCCACCACAGAGATGCAGCCCCTCTGGGGTGGGGCGCAGAAACGGGGGGTGCAGCTGAACAGAACGAGGCCGTGACCCGCAGAGAAGGGGTCTCCCCAGTCCGGTTGCCATGCGCGGGAGAGACCGGGGGGGACACACCCTGGGGCAGGCAGGGGCTGGCCAAGGTTTGGCTGGCATAGCCGGGTTCAAGGCTCAGTTAGGGGGCCCAGCACTTTGGGGTCTTTTATGACAGAACATCACAGGCCCCCAGTGCTGCCCTGGGACACCCCTGCCCGGGAGGGGCGGGACTCACTCTGGGGGCGGAGGTTTGGTCCGGGCCCATACGACGCATCGGTAGTGTCCTTTTCTTTGCCAGCTTTGTCCTGGTCTCCAGCCGCCTGCAGGGTCGGAAATTCCTCGCGAGAGAATCGCGACAGTAGGCTTGATCCCTTTCCACCTGCGGAGAGAGGGAGGCTGACTGACTAGCCCACCTCTATGACCCCGGAGGACCATGGAACAGAAAGAATTGTCCCCTCTATGACCCCGGAGGACCAATTATCTTCCAGCTCTATGACTCTTCAGGACCAAAGCGGTGAGAATTGCTCCGTCTCTGACCCTGGTGAACCGATCAGCCTCCAGCTCTTTGTAGCTAGACGCAAGAGGCTGTGACGTGCCAACTCGCCAACCCTGAGGGCCAATGTCTTTCATTTCTATGACCCTGGAGGACCAAGCCAGGGAACTGCCTGGCAGAATGAGACTGGGGCCCACCTAGCCTGTCTCTGAGTGGTCAGGGCCAGCTGCTTCAGAGCCCAATGGGGGTGGGCGTGTCCTTCCTGATCACTGGCTCAGCGGCTGGGTCACGCCCTGGACAGTTGGTGGTTGGGGTTCGAGCCCTCACATCTCATCCCCTCTAACTGAGCCATTGAAGTGTCTGAGCCTGCTCGGCTCTTTGACTCCATGACATCAAGGGGCAGAGAGTTCCCCGGGTTAACGTTGTGTTTGACATTAGCGCATCCCCCTAAGAAGCCCCAGCTCTCTGCAGCTCAGTGCCCCCAAGCTCCACTCCAGGGGATTGGTAAACGAACTCACCATCTCCTTGCGCTCCATGGGTAACGCTGGCCTGTGCCCAAGACTTTACCCCGCTTGCTACTGTAGGGGGATTCTGACAGAACAAAGGAGGGGGAGGGGTTAGTTTGACTCTGGGGACTGCAGCCCCCTTACCAGCCTCCCAAGATCCACCCCCAGCCCCACGTTCCCAGATACTCATTGATTCTCTCTCAGATCCTGCCGCCAAGGCTGGGAAGCTCCTTCGGCAGAGAGCGGTTACCGGCCGCAGCACCAACCTCCAGCACTAGCGCCCCCTGTGGCCCTAGGAAATGCCAGCGGGGTCTAGGGGCCAGTGACATGGACGCAGGCTGGTTGCAAGAGAGGGAAATCCTGAGTTCTCTCCCCGGCTCTGGGAGGGGAGTGGGGGCTGGTGGGTCAGAGCAGGGGGGGCTGGGAGCCAGGACTCCTGGGTTCTCTCCCAGCTCTGGGAGGGGAGTGGGGGCTGGGAGCCAGGACTCCTGGGTTCTCTCCCTGGCTCTGGGAGGGGAGTGGTGTCTAGTGGTTAGAACGGTGGGCTGGGAGTCAGGACTCTCCTTGTTCTCCATCCTGGACACTGTTTGGGGAGTTCCCCTAAAGGCACCCCCAGGATCTTGATCTCTGTCAAGGGAGACACCCCCCACCCCCAGTGTCTTCACCTCGGGTGCTGTTGGGGGTCGTTTCGGTGGGTTTGAGGCAGACGTCTGTGAAGCCGGCGGCGACGGCGATTCCGGCGGCTGAGCTGTCGAGGCATCGGTACTGAGATGGAGGGAATGAACGAGGCAGAGAGAGAGACAGACACACAGACTTCAGACCTGGGGCCTGATGGGAGCTGGCGCCCCCTAGACGGGAAAGGCCCCACTCCCCTGGGCCAGGCCCACCCCCACTCCGAGGGGGGACGGCTCCTCACCTCTTTGGGTCTGACTGTTCCTGCTTGCTTGCCCATCCTGTCCCGTCTTTTGGTACTAGTGAGACGTTGGGGTCATTGCCTTTGTTCTCCGCTTTTAAGCTTGGCAGGTTCGCAGGGGGTGGCATACGCCGGGCAATGGCAACTTTCCCGAGACTCTGCAAGCCATGGCGAGGGGCTACTGTAGGGGGAGAGAGGTTAGGGCTTGTTCTGACCCCCCGCCCTGCTCCCTGCAGCACAGCGCCCCCTCCGGCCCCCTCCCTGCAGCACAGTGCCCCCTCCGGCCCCCTCCACCCACCTCCCTGCAGCACAGCGCCCCCCTCCGGCCCCCCTCCACCCGCCTCCCCTGCAGCACAGCGCCCCCCTCCGGCCCCC